CTTCCTTTTCACCTCAATATGGAACTCCGATGGCCAGTCCAGCTGTGGCTCAATACATCAGTTGTTAAGCTTAACGTGGAAATACTATGCAAACATTCAGGGATGAACTTGCCTTACTTCTGTGGGATAGTTTTCGCCGAGATGAAATACCGCGGTTAGGAAGCATGTAGCGAGGCTCCAAATGCTCCAACAGACCGCCAACAGGTCTCGCAGACAACAGCCGCTCTATCACGTGACACATACTACTCCGATGCGCCGAGCTGGGTTACGCCAAGTAGCGCGTTTTGTGAGGTGATTTTGTGATACTTCGGATCGGATTACATTTTTTATTTTTCTCCGATATCCGATCCAGTAATTTAGGTCAGTATCGGACCGATACCGATAGGTAATATCGGATCGGTCCATCTCTAGTACATGGTAAAGGCTTTAAATGTTCTTCCATTATTTAGTTACTTATTTTTAATGTTGTATCCCAGTGTCATTTGTACATTTCCCCAAATCAACATGAATTCAACTGAATGTGTTTAAAATATGCCCTGAATGTGTGCCTGTTTGTTTCTGCAGGTACCTATCTAAGAGGCAGCACCACTGAAGAGGGACTATATTATCAGCGCAAAGACTTGGAGTGGATGCAACCAATGCATCATCTGCTTGTCAAACACAAGAACAAACATAAAGTCCTTCATACCAAACCTCACTAAAAGTCCACCACTAACCCTACAATTACACACAAGGTCAAAACCTCAGGACTGAGACGGGCTTCCCAGTTTATATATCTGCATGTTCTCTGCCTTCTCTTAGTCTGGAACATTTGTTTGTTCAAATATTGTTTACAGTTACTCTCAGTGTGCAAGGTGCATTGTGGAAAAAAAAATCCTGTTTGAGACCACACTGATTTTATGTCACAGACTCCAGCTCACCTGTTTACTCATGGTGGTCAACAAGGGTTTAATATAGATAACTGAGGTCCACTATTTCCTGAAAGTATTCGAGATCTTTTACACTTGCTTGGTATTTTAGATGGGTGAATAGTAGCAGATGTGTTAAGTTGATTACCAGTAAAAAATACTCTATCAAGCCTCTCTGCTGTACCAAGTGAGTAGGAGAAGATACAAATCTAATTTCATTATGGTTAAGGTCAGTAGCCTGCCTTCAAAGAGACTGACCGCTAAAAGCTAAAGAGCGAAAAGAAACAAATAAGCAAAATGAAGTTACGTAACCATTGAAAGTGTTTTCAGTATGCGAGGATATCCTGGTAATTTAACGTGTTTTTTTTAATGTAGTATTTGGATTGTCTGTTTGATTTGTAATAAATGAAGTGAAAAGTTGGAACGTCTGGAAGGTTTCTGAGCGTCAAACAAATAACAGCAGCCTGCACATGCAGACATATGCAGCAATTCTAAAAACTACTGAGAGACCAAAATCTGTTGGTCTTAGAACTGGCTAGCTAAAATATTTCATCAAAACAAGTGGCTTTAGTGAACAAGTGTGACACCATTTGTTACGTGTCTGTAGGTGGTCACTACAAACAGGCCTGTTTTTTGTTATTCACATTCTGTACATGCATATTACAGTCAGGCTTCCATGGCTGGATATTTGTGTGCATACATGTCCAGAAACGTATTCATGTTTTTCTGTGCATGCTGATTCTGTTACATCACAGGACGCAACACTCGAACGGACATAAAGCATAGGTTTTATTTCGTTGATGCTCGTTAGATCGTGACAGCTCTTCATTGAAATGTTTCTGGAACATCCAAATGTCAATGAATCAACTAAAGGTGATGAGAATACAAGAACTGGATAGCACATTTTTTTAATTGTGTGTTTTGGTTTTTTTTCTCTTTTGTAACTAAAGTGGGTTTTTACACATTTCAGTACTTATTAAGGTGGGCCTCATTTTATGAAGCTGAAGCTCTGGAAACATAAGCTATATGATATGTCAAGCAGTCCCTGGAAATTCAGTTTCTTTTCATTTCTTGAGCTCTGCCTTTTTTGTGTGTTTTCTTCATTTCATCGATGAAATTGTGGCTGTAAATAGGAAAATAAACCTTTTTTTGTACCTCGCTTGCTTGTACTGTTCTACATTCCTAAAGGGTAGTTAAAAATGAGTTCATCTTTTACAGTGAGAAACATTTCATTACTTCCTGTTCATAACTTGTACACCATGAACACCATAAAAGACAAAAGGTTAATTCATTGAATAAAGAACATAGACACTAACGACCTGGCCAATAATGATCCCTCCCAAAACACCATGGTTTTTTAGTGCCCCCCTCCCCTTCATTTAAATGTCATAAATATTTTTTCAGTATTATTATTGGCTATTCTTTTCCTACTGTTGTCATTGTTATTACCTATTGATTTCTCACGTAGCCACATGATGAGTTAATACACATGCAACTCGCACAATATCAGAATAGAAAATATGCAAATATGTACAAGTACTTTAGTTTTATGATTTTGTGTTTTTTCTAGTTTGTCAGTGCATTTTTCATCTTTTGTATGTTCTGCACTCAAAATAAACTCTATAGATAACCCATGGGTTCAAATACATTTTGAGATGCCCTGTTATAAAATGAAAGAAAATACAATAAACTGATATGTTCATTAATTTATTATAAAATGTTGAGAAACATTCTGAACAGATATAAATAAGTTAAAAAGGGCATGAAGGAAATACTAATTCATTTCAATCACAGTACAAATCATTATTGTAACATTGTTCTGTAGTTCCACAGACATAACGAATGGGGATGAAGAGGGATGAATAAATACTGTACAGGTATACATTCACTCCTGAAGCACAGCTTCATATGTTGTGCATCACTTGAAAAAATGTATTAGACCATTTTTTTTTCTTCTGAATTATAATATTTTTAAAAACTGTTTTCCTCTTTCTGGTGCGGCAGCAGAGTCCAGCGGCTAACGCTTAGCATGCCACGTTATGTTTGTTCACTCTGTTGGTAAAAAGAACAAAACAGTACAGATTGGATCAGTCAGTATACAATGATTTGTAAATAGTGTGAAACCTTGCACAGGAACAGAATTAGCAAAAAATAAATAAATAAAAATCAATACACTTACGTGCACTGACTCCAGTGGCTCCACGGCCCTCTGGTGAACTTGTCCTGAGCTCGCACACAGAAAACATACTTCTTGGTCTTAACGCCAACCTCGTATTTGGTTGTATCAGTGGTGATATTCTGCACAAAGAAGAGGCGACTTAATAAAGACAAAGAAACCTCGACTAAACTGGACATCAGCAAAAAGATATGAATCTGGTGTATAGATGTACGTGTATTAATTACAATTATTTGATTGTCACTGTTGCAGGGATGTCCACTGTGCACCAGCTTGACCTCAAACTGTAGGCCAAAATAGGCGCAGGGTTTCTCCCAAGTATCAGGGTAGTCCCAGCTGAACACCTTCCCATCACTGATGTGCAGGTTAGGGAGTTTTGACGGTCTCACTTTATTGAGTTGGGAGGGAAAGAAATGAGGTGGGAAAAGTTTAAAAAAGAAAGAGAATGGAGAGAGGAAATCACGGCACGATGACTAAGAAAGTTACTTTTCATACGCTAAAATACACAAAAACAAACTTACCGATTTCTCTCAGGTAGAAAGACTTTGTGTAGGCCTCCAAACGAGCATGGCTGCGTATGTAAACGGTGAAGGAAATGTGATGTTGCTCCTCTTTGTATGGGCAGTGGGCATCTTGGCAGCGAACCCCTGATGCATCGGCATCCAGCTCACAGGGGATATCTTCGGTAAAACTGGAATATGAATATAAGTTGATGTTAAAATACTATCTAGAGCACCTCCTCCACACCAGCACCCAACCAAAGTATGCGATGCATTGTCTTTGTCCTTACCGTTCAGCCTTAACCAAAACCACACTGGCATCAGATCTGAGCGCTGTTCTTTTCCAGGAGCAGTGAAAGAATCCTGTATAGTTTGGTGCCGAGCAGTGGATGTGACCTGGAGCAACAGAATTACTGTCAGTCCCCTCCCTCTCTTTTGTTTAATGTTCTTATGAACAGTGTAGCTTACACTTGTAGTGTTTCATTGTTCTTCTAGATCCCATTGAGTAAACACAAATAAATCACTCAGGGCATTGATACAATTGCTGTAAATGAGAAAAAAAAAGCTTTGTAGCTGCCTCTTCACTTCAACTTTAAGGTTTTGTTCCATCACAGGAAAACATTGCCTCATAGCACAAAACTGCAGAAACATAATGTTTGAGATTTACAAAGCTGAAACCTTATGGAGAAACATGAGCACTAACAATGTGATGATGGGCCTAATATAAAGCCTGCTCACTGTGTTGTTCTTTTCCCTCATCTTCTCTATTAAAATTCCTTTGACACTACTAATGGTGATCCTTTGATCCAGTTTCTGTTTTCTGCTCTGGAACCCCACCCTTACACCCTTTCCCTATTTTTTTCTTATCCTAAATCCCAATCTGACCATCATCTTAGCTATTCAGTCCCATCAATACCATTTCTTCTTCAGAGAAAGCTTGAGGCTAAATCCAGTCAAAGAAAATCTGCTCTTTGCCCTTTTCCCTTCATGCATGCCTTCTTTGTTCTCCCTCCCCTACTCGTTTCACTTCTTTCTTTGTCTTTGCTCCTTTCCTTCCTTCTTTCTTTTTTTTTCAACTTACCTCCTTCTCTGTTTTCCAATATGACTGTCCTGTTGTCTGGATTAAGCTGGATTAAGATCATAGTGTGGTTCAGGTATTCTCCACTTGGACTGAGGTGGCAAGTGTAGTTCCCTCCTTTCATCTCCTCCACCAGGACCTGGACTTGGTTCCCCTGCAGAGGCGGATTGAGCTCCTGACCTGAGACACGGACATGTTCATTGTTACAATGTGGTCATAAAAAGCCATAAAGAGACAAAGGGGAAAGTTTGACGTCTGGATAAACAAAAGCTTGATGAGCTATAGAGCAAACAAACAAAAGAAAGTTCTTGTGACTTTGACTTTTTCTTTACATAAGTGAAATTAATTGAATTAAAAGCTGCGTTACCATTTTTCTTCCAAAACACAGGCTCATTCTGAAAAGCTTCTCCGCAGGTCAAAGGAACGTGAACCATGCTACCCGTAAAAGAGGGCACCCTCAGGACCACAACTAGGTAAAACAAAAAAATTGATTTTACTGTTGGTGAAATTAAAAACAAAAAGGAAAACATGGAGGAATATTCAAAGACAAGGAGATACCATTATCCATGAGTGTCTCGACATCTGTTTGCTGGGTGTCAGCACTGGCGCCACTCAGTATAGCCCACACAACCATGAGCAAAAATGTATGCATCTGTAACAAAAGAAAGGAAGTAATGGGACTCTTTTACATAAACAAATAAAAATATTTTTTTAAACCTTGAAAAAAGTGAAATACTCAAGTAAAAAATTAACCCTTTAAATCAAAGCAGTGTTAACTAAAATAAAATAACAACAAAAGAATTGTGAACTTGGAAAACTAATTAAAATCAAATAAAATTACAGAGAAAATATCCTTAGTTTAACTATCTGTTAGTTTAGTAAAAAAAAATTCAATTTTTTAAAAAAAAAAAACCAAAAAAAAAAATTAGAAGATATCAAATGAAATAGTATAAAAAAAATAATCAGATATTCCCTCCTAAAACCTTTTTGACCCCTCAAAGGATGAGAACTCAAATTTGCAAACCTGTACAACAGCATTTTCAAAGTGTGTACAAGTATTTTCAATTATATAAGAAGTTTTAAACATTTTGATTTTTACATAACCCAAAGTGAGCAGATTATTCCTCCTCCTGAATATCTGTGACAATCAGATGGAATATAATAGATCTTACCTTGCAAAACTTGATCCAAAATCTCACACTGGAACCAGATGTAGTAAGCAGTGTTTGTCTGTGTAAAGGCAACAGCTGCAGCTGCATTTATACGTCAGGCTGAGAAATCCCCACTCAAAAGAGGAACTCTTTAATACCTGAGCAATGATGACGATGACAATGGACCACACTGCACATGAAAGGAAATTTAATGAATGATCAAAATAAATGGATTACCACTAGCTTTCCACCCAGCTCTCCTCTTTTGTCAAGCTTGATTAATTTAGCTGTGTTGAAGACGACAATTCATTCGGCACAAAATCCACGCTGTAATCTGATGTATGATTGTGTGATCACACTAACCACTTTGGGGGGGAAGTAAGGCCAACTAATGATACAGAAACTTCTGTAAAACAGAACTGCAACCCCTAAAATGTTTAAATATGGTTATACGCCACTGAAAGTGGAGCAGGTAATCTAGATCGCCGTCATGGGACTTCTAAAGAAGAACAAGAAAAAGGACGCTTCCACAGAATGCGTCAAGAGAACAGAATCATCAGGGACAAAATAAAGGAGAAAACCCAGATTATAAACAAAACAAAAAAACAAAACAGGATTATCTGAAGGAGTTTTGTAAACGCAATGACCAAATGGAAAAATCACTGTTGCATTTTCTTTTTTTTTTAAAGTATACACCTGGGAAGTTACCTGCAGAGCGTTTTCTTTCCAAAATAACCACTAACATTTAAGCATGCCTGTGTGGTTGCATCTGTAATGACAGCTCGTAGACCCTTTCCTATAAATACACATAGGTATAGGGGTTTCTTTTGATTAACCTTTGTTTATTTTTTTTAAAAAAAAAGGCAACAGATGACTCAAGGGGAGTGTGTTTTATGCTGTTTTGAAAGGAAATGCAATTTCCTTGCTTGGACCCTCACTTCAATTAAGTAAAAGGTTTTTCCCCACCACTATCCTATTTCGTATTCTTATGAGGACTGAAAATGTCATATCATACTAACCTTACACCACATCCACTTCCCTGTGTGTGTGTGTGTGTGCACGGTGCGACTTTTCTCAATATTAAACAAGTGGCTTATCAACTCTTTAACTTCCTTTGTATTTTACAGGAATTGCGGAGAGGCAGCTGGCATTCCTTCCTCATACCAGCTGAATGATAGCAGGTATGTCTTTGTCAAGGTGGGAATGCCGCTTAGCAGCACTTCTTTCCAAAGCAAATCCAATTAATCAATGCTTGCGTAATTGGGTTTTTCAAGAAAACTTCCAGTTTCTGCCAGGACTAAATGAATGGGCTTAAACAATGATGTTGAAATTATAGAGAAAAGAGACTACAGGAAAAAGGGAAAGCTTAGAGTGCTGTATTATTCCTGTTAAAGAGACTAGACAGAGAAAACAGATTAGATTATCATGGATATATCAGTGTCAGATCCTGAAATTATAATTTGATCTTTTGGGGAATCCTACATTTTAGTTTTTTAAAGATTGATAAGACACATTACTGAATTGTAATCACACAACAAAGGACAGAAACAGTCCCTCTTAAATGTAGGTGTTTTCAGTCCCGCAGAGCATAAAACCATCAAGCCAAGCAGTCTGCCTTTACATTCGTGAAAGAATGAGTTGTTCTAATGAGCTAACTGAATTCAAGTGTGGCGCTGTGACAGGCTGCCACCTTTGTAACAAGTCAGTTTGTGAAATTGCTTCCCTCAATCAGCTGGTATTATTGCAAAGTGGAAACATTTAGGAAGCACAGCAACTTAGCCGCAAAGTGGTTGACCACGTGAAATTACAGAGCATGTGGGGGATGTTGCTGAGGCACATGGTGCGTAAGAGTCAGTAGTGCTCTGCTGTTATATTTGTAGATATGACTCAGAATTTGCAAAATTCCAAAAACACCCATGGCATTAACATCAGCACAAAAACAGTGCTCTGGGAGCTTACATTACATTATTATGGTGTTGTGACTGAAGCCAGGAGGTGATTATTTTAGCCTGACATTTATAATGGAAATGGCTACAGTACCTGTCCAAAGACCCAAACAAATTAGACAAGCCAAATGTTGTTGTTTTTTTGTTTTGACATTTTAAAACCATTCTGAGGGTTTCGTTCAAATTAAAACTGATGCAAAATATTACACTTATAGGAGGTGATGATGTGTAAATTCAGTACTCTTAAAAATGGTATTGAGGATGTCACACAGCTCATTTTACCCAAGTAAAAAGAAAGAAAGTTAATTTTTGCCCTTAGCCTTAACCTTTCCTTTCAATATTAGCCACAAAATACGAGATAATTTTTTCTATTTGTAACTTTAAATTGACGCTATGTGCATGGGAATACACAAGGAGTGATCGTGGCTCAAGAGTTGGCAGTTTGTCTTGTAATTGGAAGGTTGCTGGCTCGAGCCCCGGCTCTGACAGTCTCGGTCGTTGTGTCCTTGGGCAAGACACTTCACCCGTTGCCTACTGGTGGTGGTCAGAGGGCCCGTTGGTGCCAGTGTCCGGCAGCCTCGCCTCTGTCAGTGCGCCCCAGGGTGGCTGTGACTACAATGTAGCTTGTCGTCACCAGTGTGTAAATGGTGGATGACTGAATGTAGTGTAAAGCGCTTTGGGGTCCTTACAAATACAGGCCATTTACACAATACTATGCAATCTACAAACAATTACATTGTGAGACCATTTGACGTGTAATATTTGTAATGGTATTAAGCAAAGAAAATGAGTGAGGAAATCACCTTAATTAAAACACAAGAAGAGGAAAAACTAAGCAAGTCATAAACTAGCATTAAAAGGCAATCCCAGAGTTGTAGTAAGTGTAAGTATTGTGGCGTATCAGTCCCAAGTCTTCATTGAAATATGAAATTCTGAAAGAGAGATCGAAGAAAACAAACAATGACTAGTTTTCATTAAAAACATTCTGTCTTTAATCAAAATATGCAACTGTGTTTCTGATGTCCATCCTTTTCGCCACATGAATGAGTGGTGGTTGTGTCCTGATCATATATGAACATCCGCGCACGCACACACACTTATTCACACGCACTCTCACGCACAGGCTGACTACTTATAACATGATTAATCTGATTGTTCAGTGAAGCAGAGTGAAATAAAGAATATGATCCAGCAGCAGCAGCTTGGTAAAGCATCCAGTCATGTCCTCTGAGTGCAGCCTCAAGAAGGAGAACACATCTGCTTGCTAACCAACTACACCAAACTTCCTTTATGGCTGTTTGTATACTGACTTTATCCCCTGACGCATTCCTGACTGATTTACTATCATGTACTTAAATAAAGAATTTCTGAATAACTCAGTACTGTTAAGTGTCTTTTTGAAATGTCTAAATTGAAAACATATGCTGTGAAAGTACACGCGTAACCCTGTCGCCTTATACGAAGAATTCTCTGTGCTGAACCAGCTTTGCCAAAGAGCAGAACTTGAATGGAAACTGAAACACAGAAACATTCAAATATCAGTGTTGCTAAGAAAACCCATTTTAGCCATCTGACAAAGTTTTCTTTTTGCTGTTTGGTTTCCATAGGAACAGTTAAAAAGACTTCAAAAAAGGTCAAAATGTCAATGTGTAAAAACCAAAAGGATTTGTCTTTTCTCAATCCAAGAGTCCTTATGCTCCAGCAGATGCCTAATATCAGCCCAAACAAAGTTCTCAGCAAAAAATGTCTGAGAAGAGAAGAGAAGAGAAGAAAAGAGAAGAGAAGAGAAGAGAAGAAAAGAGAAGAGAAGAGAAGAGAAGAGAAGAGAAGAGAAGAGAAGAGAAGAAAAGAGAAGAGAAGAGAAGAGAAGAGAAGAAAAGAGAAGAGAAGAGAAGAGAAGAGAAGAGAAGAGAAGAGAAATCAGCTTCTTTTGTGTCCCTTGTTATCCTCCAACTTTTATACTATCACATCACTGGTATGCCCCGCTCCAGGCTGCAAGTTTGGGAGCATCAATCCTCCTCCGGCGTGGGCTCTTGTGGCAGTGCGGCTACTTCTTCTGCTGCCACTGGCCCTGATGTTTCTGGTGTAGTTTCAGGCTCTGGTGGTGGTCGCTGGCTGAGGATGACCTGCACTACATAGTCTCTTGAGATGTTGAGTTGGTCCAAGCGCAGTCTGTCTGTCAGAGGCCGCCCTGAGAAAAACCAGCGTTGCGTTGCGGCAGGCACGCCCTCCTGACTTTGCAGACGCCGCTTCATTATGCCTACTGTGTCCGTGGAACGGACTGCCAGCCGGAGGTCGCGACCCGTGGAGAGGCGGAGCCGAAGCTGGCATTCCCCTCCTGTGCCAGGATCACCGGCGCTGCCCAAGGACGGGTCGGCGGTTCCGGAGTCAGGATCTGAACCGTCGGGCTCATCGGAGCGTTCCTCGATCATGTTGACTGGGGGAGAGAGGCAGTAGACTGGCAGCTGGTATCGATTCCCCAATTCATCGTAGCATTCGGTCAGAGCTCCTGGAAGAACGGAGAATATAACCAATTAATTCAATATATTTAAAAAAATATCGAAATATTAATTTGGTTAATAAATCAAATGAAAGCTACAGATTATGGTTTGCAGGAATTGCCACTGTCAATAAATCACATTACAATATAAACAGAAGTGTAAGAACTCGGTAAATGATTAACTGGGAGCTTCAAATGCAGAGCCATAAAACACTAAAGTGAACAGCAGGGTCATTTCTAATTTTTCCTTTTCGTAACTCTTCATGGACTACTTGTCTAAACAAAAAAGTTATATAATATATATAGATATATATACCTTGCTGTGCATGAGATGGAATACGTTCTGTTTAAAGAAATCTATTAGTCATTTGTAATAAAGTGAAAGTTAAAACATATTTTTTCCCATTCAACAAAGCCAAAACCTGAACTATGCTTCATAATACCCTGGATTGATATGAAATGGAGAAATGAGAGTCATACAAATAGAAAATAAAGATTGTAGGGGGACAGACTGTGGAAGCAGGAAAAAAGGGAAAGTCTCATCTTGGACTAAAACATAAAGAAACATTATGTCATTTCCGTGATTCAGACTCTGACAATAAAGAGTTGGTGGACAGAAAGTGGGAATTATAGCATACTGAAGAGGTTGTGTCCACGAGTAAAAATGCAAGCCATTCTGTTCATGAGGGGGATTCCTGACAGATACATACCCTGCAAAATAATTCAAACTTTTCATACCAAAAAACTAAAAGGTTATATTTATTGTGGATTAACAAAAACAGAAGATTAAGTTGATGATGACATCCAAAAAGATGAAAAACTCTCCCCACAAAAGTGAGAAGACCGCCTGACCACAGTTTCTTCTAAATGACATTTTTAAAAAAAGGTCACCTTGCTGCTGTTGCGCCGTTTTATGACTTAAACCGAAACACGATCCACCCGAGAGTAGCAGTGAGTTTTCCTGTAACCAAGACCCAGATGAGTTAGCAGAAGCCCAGAAAAGTTCTCACTACTCTCTAGATGATGACAACTTTGGCCTCGGTGAGGACATGAAAGTAACTCTTGCCTTCAAGAAAAGTGCAGAGTTCATGTAATTGTGAAGGAATAAGGTGGCAAAAAGACTGGTTTCTGGCACGTGTAGCCCACTGCGTAGCAGCAATCACCAAAAACCACCACAAAATGAAAGTGCAGCAATTATTTCAACCACAACCACACTATTATATATTGTGCAGGAGTCTACATAAATAATTGGAGAGCATGTTTAAATATTTTATAGCTCTCTGCTTTTATCAGGTACATAAAATAAATATAAATTTGAGCAAATAAATCTACAGTTGAGCTGCCCTACCTCCAATATTTCAGCACACCAACTAAACAGTTGTTTATTTAGGCTCTGATGAATTTCCTTCTATGTGGGATAACAGAGAGGGCACAATATGAAGAAGTAGTGATAGCCGGCATCACAAAAGGCTAAGATAAATATTAGTTTTAACATGGCTCAATGAAAATGTATAAACATGATCTGGAAAGGATCTTCATTTGATTTTTTTCCCTTCAACAGCTATTTATTTTTCAGCTGCAGAATGCCAATGTATTCCAGATGGTACTGATGCTTTTGGTTGTGGCATTTCATCAAAACAAACAAAAACAAATTCCACCCACAAGGTGGAATTAGCCTTGTACCAAATTTTAAAGAATAAGTCTTATGACAAAAGCAAAGAAACATGTCGTTGAAGTGCTTGCTGCGCTGCATATCCCCCCCAACACGTTTTGAATTTTAAAGGATGAAAATATAAGTGATGTGAATCCGTAAATCTTTCCATCCTCACAAGGATATTCAAAACTGCGTGGGAATTTGCCCAACCAGTCTACATGTATTTTATGGACTTGGAGAAATCAAATGACCGCATCCCGAGGGATGTGGTTTGAGGGGTGCTTTGGGAGTATGCGGTATTAGCCCATTATTATGGGCTATTCGGCCTCCCAAGTGTGGTAAGAGCTTGGTTTGTGTTACCCACGGTAAATCAGACTGGATCCTGAGCTGGACTCTACCAAGGTTGCCCTTTGTTAAAGAGTCTATTCATAACTTTGATGGACAAAATTTCTAGGCACAGCCAAGGGGTGAAGGGTTTTGAGATTAGTGGTATCAGGATCTGCTGTTGTAGATGATGTGGCAATGTTGGCTTCATTGAACGATGACCTCCAACTTTCACTCTTGTAAGAAGTGTGTGAAGTGGACAGGATGAGAATCTACATGGCTGGACTCAGCTGGAAGACCTAGGTATCACAGAGTGAGCGGAAAGTAGACTGGGAGACTAACAGATGGATTCAGGTGGTACTGGTAGTGATGCAGATAGAATAGAATAAAATGCCTTTATTGTCACTACAGCTGCACAATGAGATACAGAATGCTGTACTGGCCTGCTGTAGTGACCATACCTTCACCTATGGTCACAAGCTGTGCCCAAAAGAATAAGATTGTGTGAGGAATTAGGTTCCTCTGAATTGTGGCTTGTCTCCCTTTGGATGAGGAGCTTGGCCATTCAGGAGGAGATATGAGTAAAGCCGCTACTCCTCCACAACAGGAGCTGGATGAGGTTGTTTGGGAATCTGACAAGGTTGTCTCATGGACGCCTCCTAGGTGAGGTGTTTTTGTTCCTGGTGGAGACCCAGGAAAGATGTTGGAGAGATGTAGTTTCTGGGATGGCTTTGTAACAACTCAGTGTCCCCATAAGTGCTTAAAGAGTTGGCCTCATGCCCCTGATACCTCAAGACAGATAAGCAGCACAAAATGAATGGATGAATGGCTAATGACAACAAATGGCTCCAGAAAAGATGCTCTATAATTTCCTTATGCTTTCTAAAGACAAAGACTTGAATCTCATTTCAGGGTTCACAAACAAAGTCTCAGCTAGTAATGGTAATGCAATTTTAAAAGATTTTTGAGGATCGCTGTTTGGTCCCATAGTGAGCAAACATTTTCTTTTTACCATGCTTGTGCAGACTAAATGTAAACAGCTACTGAAAAGACAGCCATAAAGTGAATCCTACAGATTACAGTGATTGTTTTATTCTGGTGTCACAAAAATACCCTGGGTTTTCTTTAGCTACATCAACACGTGTGTGTAAAACTAATGATGGCTTTGTCAGCCTCAGCTGTACTCTGGATTTCTTAATATTTAACTTGCTAAGAGTGATAACTAGGATGTTGGACATAATAAAATTGCTTTAAATTTGTGAATGTGTTGTTTCTTTCTCATGCGTTTCCTTTGCTGCAGACCTAGAATGGTGGCCTGATGTTCAAGATGAGCCTTTTCTCATCAAACAAAACGCAACTTCAATTTGTTTCTTAAAACCTATTAAACAGACGTCACAGCCAACCACACATAGCCAAAAGATTTAAGCAAACTTGCCTTTATACTGCTGCACAGAACACAGTCATTTCCCTTGTGGGACCAGTTAAGAATCCATCCATCTTTCCCTCTATCCCAATTGTACAACATGTGATGTATTAATTGTGATGAAAACATTTAGGAATGTGAGTTCTGATTCCTGTATGCTGCTCAGTTTAAGTGTAAAGCAGTACTGGAAGACCAAAAGTGTCCTGGTGAACAAGGGCAGAATGGTGAAAGAAATCTGAAATCAATGCTTTGCATGACTGACTGAGAAAATGTAAATATGTGAGTGGTGAAAATATTTAAGTGTTGTGTCTACTCTCTGCACTGCACTGCTGGTAGAGTGAAACAATGATGTCAGGTCTAGAGAATCCACAGCTGCAGCCCAGCAGGACCTGATCTGACCTAGCCAAACTACTGAGAGGAATAAAGTAGACATTGTAAGGCACTGACATGAGGTTCTTAATGGTACTTAAAATATACATATACAGGTTTTGCAGTCAGGTGACCACTAACCATCTAATGTCACATGCCCAAAATGTTGGGCATGTGGATTATACGATCAAGTTAATAAGGCCCCAGTTACCCAAGGCCGAGAGGTAGGTCAGTGACCACTTAGCAACCACTGGTCGCTAGAGGAAAAATTCGAAAAATGTCCCAGACCAGCTGGCAAAAGCCTCATTGCGACTGCTTCGGTCCCTTCCTGTGGTCTCCAAACAGTAGTGAAACTGTGAGAAGAAACCAGAAATGGGACAGCATCCGTCTTCAAAGTAAAAGCTCTGCCTCTTCGCTGCAGCAAACACATTTCTTTGAAGCCATCGTTTCCAGTCAGTGTTTCACTACTGCTTGACTGTGTTTGCAGCCAAATTGGTGTTTTCCACAGAAAATACAGGTAACTGTTCCAATCTGCTGGTGACCGAAGCAATCACCAGAATGTTTTTGGTGCAGCACCCTCTTTGGAAAAATTTCACCAAGCAACTGGCAGAATGGGCTATAATCCATCATGGATTGGCCTCACCAGAGACCCAGAACTCTGAACATTATTAACAGTGTGGGATCACGTTGACATAGAACAGACCAAAAGGGAGCAAACATCTAAAGAAGGGCTTTTAATGTCCTTCAAGAAACTATTCTTGAAAACTACTTAAAGAAATTACAAGAAAGCTTGCTTATTAAAGTTCAGGCTATGCTTAAAAATAATATTCCCTTCCAAGCTTCGTAGAATTATACAAACTCTGTTTTTGCCTTATGCCCTGCATTTCTCTGTATGTTTGCATGTTTCAACAACTCTGCATCTATTTCCCATTTTTCAAGTAAAATATAAAGAAATGAGGGATTCTGCACACAACTGTATTATTTTTGTGAAGTTTGATGAATTGGGAACAATAAAGAATGACACATCCACGCGTAGAGAGCCTACTACAGCAGCTTATTATAACAGCTTGGATTTGGGCTTCCTGAATTTGAGCCACATATATTTTATAGATTTGTTCTAAGAGAATGCTCTTGTGTTTTGAACTCTTTGGCATACTTAGGTGACTTATTACTTCCTCCTTTCAGCAGAGCAAGAACATGCCCCTTATTTATTATTTATGGGTTACTTCTGCAGCACTTCCTCGCAGCTAAAGCCTAAACTCTAAAATGTGGTCACTGAAAATCACTAAGAGGTTCTTTTATAGCAGGCTGAATTATATTGATGCTTTATAATCGCTCTATTTACTTCCATGTTCACTAAAATGTCAATTGTAGTCTGTGACTTTAACAAGGACAGCAAAGAAGGCGCTTACATAAACAAAATGCTTCAGTAATATGTGGCAAAGTTTGCTTCCTGTTTATGAAACTTATCAGAGGGGCAATCTAAAGACACTTCCTGGGGAAGCAGCCTCCCTTTGCTTCTCTGTTCTATGTAAATTTAACCTCTTTACATTGAAGAGCTACTATTTAGTAGCTGCATGTGGTAGTGAATGCTGACAGGTGGCATGAAGTAAAAGCTCTGTATCGTGAGTATTCGAAGGGGAGATTTTGACTTTGACATTTCAGTGTCCCAGTACAGCTATTTTTCAGAAAATAAAGCTAAATCTATGACTTGTCAACTAGACCCATCACTGTGGAAATGTGTGTTACCATGTGGCAGTGTGATGCTGGCTCCATCAAGGATCGCCTGAGCCAGCAGGTGGTCATTGCTCTCAAAGGCGCTGGCCGCAGCCCGCAGCGCATCCCAGATCTCCTTCCGGCCTTCGAAAGCTGGCGCCGTATCCCAGAACTCATCTCTTTTGCTGCGCAGCTGGCCTTCAGTCATCGGGTAGTCACTTTTCCATTTAGGCCGCTCTCTCTTCAGGGGCTGGTTACGCCCTAGAGCCACTGGGAGCGGCAAAGAGAAGGAGAGGAAAGGGGGGATTTAGAGAGAAAATGCAACTAATAAAAACAGGAAGACTGACGCAGGCTGAAAATTGAAGAACCAAACAGAAATACTGAAAAAGACTCTCATAAAAGTGACGGAGGGAAAGAGGAATCAAAGGTGTGAACATAAATGGGAATAAACGGAGGAAGCAACAAAGAGAAGAAGGAGTAAAGGGGAAATACCAAGAAAAGGAAAGAAATACAAACAAAAGCAATTTGGATGTAGGGAAGAGAAAGTAGACAGATGTGGGATGCAAGATGAGAAAAGATGGGAAATCCACAGAAGATAAAAATGAGAAGTAGAGATTATGAGTAAGGAGGAAGCAGGCATAACAAAAGTTAGGATTCACTGGAAACAAAACAAGACTTTCAGCTTTGCTCATAAACACAAGCATGCTTCAATTGTCAATTAAAAATGGGCCTACACTGTAACATAAGGTCTAAATGAAGCATTTAGACAAATTGAAGCTAAAAATGTATTGGTACTAAACCCAATTAAATGGTTACGGTTCTGGCATCTAACAGCCCTCCGGCTGCAGCGTGAAGGCAGGTGAGTAACACCATCTGGATCACCGCCGAAGGGGCCGACACACAGGACAGCGTGTATGTTTGAATACACAACACAGACACGGAGGTGCGAGCAAGCTGATGGATCAAGGTGTTGAGTTACACCTGCTGGTATACACGTACCCTGATGATCATGTGGCACAGTCGAATAACACCAACCTTCAACTGACTTTAGTAAGACAAGCCTCTAGCCGTGCTACTTTTAATACTTGCTTGAACTTGCTGAAAAGACTTCCTGTTTGAAATAAGCTCATTAGACAGGTTACAGTACACAGCATTTAGTAGGTTAAGGGGGACCTAGTTGGACAGGTTTAGCCTTTGATATTTCAAGGAGGAGGAAAACAATGCAGCAGCAGTACAGTAAACAGATAGCAACACAGATAAACATACATTAAAGTTCCTCTCCTGGTGCTGACCTTCAACTCTTCTCAAATACTGTAAACCACTTCCCAGTGCCAATGAAATTCATACATAGGTGCTCAATGTGAAAATTATTCTGAAGAATAGTGAACTGCACAAGGTTTAATACATGTTGATGTATCATAATTGAAATATATTTTATGGATTGAGTTCAACAGCGTTAGAAACTGTGCTTCAAATTAACTTTTTGACTCACCAGGCAAGAAAACTGGAATACACTAAAAAGAAAACAAACAAAATCCACCAGCAAAGTGACAAAGTTTTATGCTGAATAAAGAAGAGCCCAGAGCAAAACTGAAGCCAAATTCTTGTGAATCGTTAAACTGTGAATAAGTTGAAGCGCAATTTCAATAATATCGAACATTAAAATTTGCAAATTAATTAACTTACTAATCAAACATAAAAGTAAAAATCCTGGCTGCTTAACCATTTAATCAACTTAACCCTCTTAAACTGTAGGCTCTTTATCTCAATTATCCACTTCTTCACACAGCCCATAAAGTCCTAATCATCTGCTCATTGACTAGTGTTAATGATTGCTTACATGGTAAAGGACAGAAGAAAATGTCAGGCAGGGAGTCAATAGCTCAGAAAGCAGCTGTGCGACGCTTGCTTTATAGTACTAGTTTGTGCCCGTTTACCTACACAGAGCAAAGGGGTACACAACCAAAGCAAAAGTACTCCCCTTCAGTCTTCCAATGACCGCACGTAGACTGGTGTGGAAGATGCTATGTATAGATTAGTTGAAAAGTGAACACTTATTGTTATTTTTAACATTTAATTTTACTTCAGGCCTTTGTTGATCTGTATTGAGAACAGCACAAGAATGGGCTGTTTGTGACACTGGCCCCTGACGACAGTACACAGCTACAACATGTAAGTGACGGTCTGAAAAGGTGTCTGTAGGCTCTGCGTAACGCGTGATTTAGACTTCTGTGGGAATTCTATGTACTAAATGGAAACTCCTCGTAACCCTGCGTTTCAACCTTCCACGCCATTCAAGTTGCTGTGGGCTGCGTTGGGTTATGTACAAGGTTATGGTGTATGGTTAAAAGGACTTTCCGGTTATGTCGTAAGTTACCACATAGATTTCCCACAGAAGTCTAAATCACGCATTGGTTTGAGCCATGTATGTGTGCTTATCAAACTCAGAGCCAGAACACATGTAAGGGAGTAGGAAAAAAAGCAACCCACAATTATTTTGGTAGCACAGTGGTACAGCAGTTAACGCTGAAGTGCTCTGGGTTCAAATGCACTGGCCAACTTCACTTCGAGCTTCCTCCAACAATCCCACAACATGCATGTTAGGTTAACTTGTGACTCTTAATTGCACACAGGTATCAATGTGAGCATGAATGGCTGGCTGTCAACTGTGATAGTCCTGGAATAGACTGGGAACTTGACCACTGGGTACGATTGATCCACCTCTCCTGTGACCCTGAGCTCGATACTCGTTTTACATTTATTTGGCAAACTGAAACTAACTACATTAGAAGGTTGTTCATTTTGGACCCTGATTAGAAAAGTTATGGTAAAGAGCCTTTAGTGTGACAATGTCAAATGCTTATACTTGATTGCAAATATGGACAGATGGAGATCCGACAGCCTGACAGTCATTCCTTCTTTTGCTAAAAGTGGCTTAAGACTCGCTTAAGTACTATATATTACAATAGTCAGGATTCTTCTTTGGCTCCAGACCCAACATAGGTACAAAGCAGTTCCAAGGTGGAAATGCTCAACTACGAAGTTGAATAGCTTTTTTTGTTCCTGATTTATCTTTAGAGGAAAAATATAACTGTGCCAGTTTTCATTGGACAGGCTCTTTAAACAATTTTATGTGATTATACAAAACATTAGCAAAAGTACCAAACAATCAGTAACATCAGGAACATAAAAGCATTTTAGTGCGTCATTTAGCTGTAATCATTTTCCAGCAGTGCATGCCTGAATTCCTGCGGATATGCTCTCATGTTATGAACTTCTCTGCATGACTCTGTCCATATGTCTTCATTAGCCTGCTTTCCACATCGTCTGTCAGCCAATAATTCACGTATATCTTTAAACAGTAACCTACTTGGGTGTCATTCAGGAAGGATTTATGTACAACAATTTAACATAGAAATTTCTGCAATGTAAACCTGCCTACGAGATCTGATTTAGTGACACATAAATGTGCCTATGTTGAACTGAACTGCGTTGTTCCTGCTTGCTTGTCTGCATCAGTTTAATGCTGCATCGTCTCTTGATCCTCCACATTTTACAGATACCGCTGCTGTTTATACGCAATATCTAGTCAGGGAGGAAGCCTGAGGAACTGACAAAGACAGAAGCAGAGGCAACGAGGGAATGAATAAAGGAAAGCAAGTTTTATCTCAGCATCTCTAAGTCTCCACCCCACCCCCCATGACCAACTGTATTTACCGCTCTGTAATTAAAATAACTCACTGGCTATGAGCAGAACTCATTTTCAGATCAGACAAACCAGGAAACAACACTAAGGAAGTTGTGTACAACACCTCAAACTACAAGAAGGGGCTCTACCCCCCTCTCTCTCTTTTTTAAAGATTCACACCATTTAAACGCAACAATTCCCCTTAAACCCCACCCAGAGCTTTTATAGTTGACAAAGCACCCTTCTTTCACTGTGCACCCTATCCATATCACCAACGTAAACTATATAATAAAGGGAATATGTACTACAGCATGCATTCATAGACAGTGTCGCACTCAATTTCTCACTGCTTGAGCTGTCATCCCTACTATGCTTTGGGACTACATGCAACTCCATTTATTGCTCAGTAAATAAAACTAACCTTTTAACTTGCAGTTTTGTGCGATATATCACTTTTTGCTCACACGATACGTTTCGCTTTTAGTCATAAAGCTACAGTTTTGGCACTTCCTCCACTCTTCCGACCACTTTTCAGGACACAGCATGACCCGACACCTCGGTCACAACGAAAACAATCAATAAAAAAAAAAAAAAAAAAAATAAGACAAGATCAGCAGCTGCCATATGTGCACCCCTACTCGAGCTGTCAGTAACTTCAAGTTGTGCAGAGAGTCTGGGCATAATTCAAATCTGAAATCACACTGAATCACGCCTGAGCGCTCCCCTTGCATGCCATTGCTGCCTGTGACCCATATTTGTTATGCAGAAAGCTAGCAAGCTAACTAGCTACGTTTTAGCCGGCTAGCTTAGTCAACACCAAAGAACAAAGGGAGGCAGCCTGGCACAGTCAATGTTTCCCACTTTGTAAAGTAGAGAGCAGACGAGGCGTCGTTTGCCGTTTTAAGGCCAGGTGCATGGAGGGAGACACCCGGCAGGGCTGCTGTCTGTCTTCGGCTCTGTCTGGCTCGGATATTAAAAGGAAGGGAAGAAGACCTCCAGTCAGGACAACATGCAGGGAGCCTGGAGGAAGCCCTTCATAAAAAAAAGGAAATGCAAGCTTGTGGCCAATAAAATACGTCGACAAGCCCCGCAAGTTACCTCCAGTGCCGTCCGAGTTCTCGTTTAAGCTGCCCGAAGAGTCGTGGTGGCTCCCGACACAGCCACCCATGGATGTTTCAGCAGAGCAGCCCGGGCTAGGTAGCTCACCCCCCGGCCCACAGCTACAGCTACATCCACTACCCCTGTCTCGTTTTTCTCTCTCTCTTCCCCCCTCCCCTCCTTTTCTCCCTTCCTCCCTCCTGTCCTCTCCTTCCTCCTCGTTTCCTCCCGTCTTTCCCTTTCTCCTTGCTTCCTCCTTCCCTCCTTCTCTCAGCATAGACTGAGCTCAGCAGGCATGATCTTATTTGTGTTTTTCGGCGGCGCAAGAAGGTCTGAGAGAGGTTCACGTCGTTGCAAGGTGACCGAGGTAGGAATGAAGGAGAGAAAGAGAGGGGCCGAAGGAGGAAGAGATATAGACAAAGGACAGAGAACAAAGGAGAAGTGCACCGTGCAAAACAAAACAAAACAAAACAAAAGATAATCATGGGGTATGAAATATTTGCTTTGGACTTTGTACTCTAGTGATGTTAATGCATTTTGACACATCTGATATCATGTTTTATGAGAAGCTGTTTGCTGCACAGATGAAGACACATCAAAATGTTCACCCTCTATTATTATTATTTATTATGTTCTCATTCATTCAGCTGTGCTGCCTATTATATTCTAATTTCCACTCTATTTAATTTTATTATTCAATTCATTTTTTCTAGTTTTAATGCACAAAATATTGTTGATTTTGTGTTGCATGTTTTTTTTACTCTACTCTGCTCTTCTTCCTGCATGGGAGGCTTTCATTAGTGAAACTAGTTTGCTGTTTTAGACACACATTTTAGATTTCTTAAGTTGTACACAAACTGGATTTTACCCTACAGAGCATAATGACAGCAGTTACAGTTGCAGTCAGAAGTTTGTATACACTCATCATGGTAATGATTTCTTTGATCAATTCTTTTTCCAAATAGGAAAGTGGTACAGAAGTACTACAGGAGTAAAGGTGAGGCTTTCAAACCTAACAACACTCTACCAGGCATAGTGGTGGTAGCATTATGCTCTGTGGCTGTTTTGCTGTCAGTGGTACTGGTACATTGCATAAAGTGGATGGAATAATGAAAAAGGAGGACCACTTCCAAATTCGTCCACTTCGTCTCACATCAGCAGCTAGAAGGGTGAAACTTGGTTGTTCCAACGGGACAGTGAGCCCAAACACACCAAAGCTAGGTTCTGGAGTGGATAAAACAGGCTAACATTAAGGTTTTAGAATGGCCTTCCTAAAGCCCCGACCACCAACCTATTGAAAATTATTGGAGACTTCTTAAACGGTTGGTCCTTGTCAGGAAACCAACCAATTTAAATGAACTTGCTCAAATATCCAACTAGAATTATGCCAGAAGCTTGTTGATGCCTAGCAAAAGCATCTGGTTGATGTGCAACTTGCACCACCAACCAAACATTAGTGGGAGTCTATGTATATATTTGAGTCTGTGTACTTTTGCTTTTGACCTTGTGTGGATTCAAGAAAATTCAAAATGAATTCAAACTTGTTTCTTTAAAGTCATTAAAGATGTAAGCTGTACAGTCATTCTACTGTGGAAAAAGAATTACCATGGCATTCATGCCCCGATGAGTGGATGTAAACATCTGACCACAGCTGTATTGTGTTACAGTTCTATTCTGTTCTCTTCAGTTGTTAGACCGTCTGTAGTTCTGTTGCAATAACGAAACAAAAACCACACTTAAACTTTATTGCAGATAGAAAAATATTGTCATAGGGTATTCTGAATGTAGTTCTGCTTTTTCTATTCTTATATACTTCCCTCTTTTCAGCTTATGCCACTGTCAAAATATATCAAAATATATTACATCAATTGTTTCAGGTTTTAACACCCAAAATGTTGTTGAGTGACAGTTGCATAGATTCTGTTCTATTGTACTCTGGACACTATCTTTGGGACTGTGCTAAAGAGATCTATGTGTAATTTGATGCACTAGAACACACACCCACACCCACATGCACATACCCACACAGTCACTCACGTGTTTCTTAACACAAACACAGAACAGCAACACGATAGCGAGGTTAGTTTTACAACAAAGCTGTCTGGAATTTCAGTTATTTCCCATTGCTAGGAACTGAAAGAAGATGCTCGAGTAGGAGCGAGCTTAGTTGGAAGCCCTTCGCTAACAATCTGCGTGACCTAAATGATGTAATATGATGTTACAAGTTCCTGGAGTTGACTTTCCTCTGAATACTTAAGATCAAGGTCATAGCAGGACATTCAGCAGAATCCTCTGTCCTGCCTTCTATATGTAGACCGTTTCATGATGTAAAGGACTGAACTTTGAATTTTATGCTCCCATGCTTCATTCAGGGAGTGCTAAAGATGGCTGAGAGAATCGATTTTGTTGGACATGTTGCCTTTTTTAAGCCATTCACAAACGTTACAGAAACTCGTACATGTCACAGAACCTGAAACCCACACTGTTACGACCATGCCCAATGATGGTTAAACGGAAACTCATAAAAGCGTGCAGTTGTGTGGTTCCAATTAAAATCCCAGACTTGGCTGTTGGTCTTCTGAAGCATTGTTAGAAGTCCCAGTAAGCTGTGAACTGTTTCACACAGTCACTGCTCACCTTACTTTGAGAACGGCAGTGACCTCTAGTGACATGGTTTACTCTAACATCATGATTACATTAGTCATAATGGTAAATTGGTTTGATTTATTTTACAAACTAAATGAGTAGTTTGAGTATTTTGTAAGAAGAGAGACTTAAATAGTTTATTGGCAGTTAAAAAGCAGGCAGGGAGACACAGTGATGTTGCAATAATCACAGTGCCAATATAGCAGAGATATGATGCTTCAGATTACATATACCAGATGAAAATAGCATATCCTGCTTATGTGCAAGTGTCAAACCGCAGTGAATCTTATCTGTAACAAGGAGAAAGTAAAACGTGTGACCTTTTACACTACAGAGACTTGCATGATTTTAGTTAAAGTGCTATCTGTTCTTGTACATTTCTCTATCTGCCTTTTGATTCTTTGCGTTCTCATTTTATCTTTGTTTTTAATCTTCACCTGCTTTTACTCATCTGAGACAGTAGATGGTGCTGGTGGAACTAAAGACTGGGGTACTCTGCTTACACCAAAATAGAGTGTCTGTGTGTGTGAGACACAGGTCAGAAACCTGTGTGTAATAAAGACGCATTTGCACCTTTGAATAGAGAATAATATGAACCTGCTGGTATGGTCTATATGCAACTCTTAGAACCACAGATTTTTCAGACTATATTGTCTAATCTTATAACAGCAGCAACATTTTTGTCAGTATATTTGTTAGGACTCACGTATTCTTTAGCAAAAAACACTGTTTGAGTTCATTATTTAACCCTGTAATGTTGGATGAAAAATTACAAAAACTGCAAATGGCAGTTAAAGTTGTTCAGTCTGACCTCTGAGAACGTAATTGTTCTGCTGACTCTGTTAAATAAGGCTTAATTTTTCAAGCTGGAAAAAAAAAAGTATAGATTTTTTTAGGCTGACCAGCAGGCTTTGCTTTTCTTTATCTGACAGGTCTCTCTAATCTTTATCTCTGTGGCTTCTTTTACTGTCTTCTGTTCATTTTCTTCAACACCCCCTTTTCCTTCTACTCCTTTAATGTAGCTGACTGAAAGCCCGCACAGGGATTAATGGCTTGTCACTGACTGATTGATTGATTTATTCTTGCACTCACTCAGCGCCTGACTGGCTATTTGGAGATGTTCAGCTTTTCCCATCTGTGTTGAAGATGGGGCTGCTAGCGGACCCATTGATTTACTGTTATCTGTGGAGCGCTACCCCCTTTTTGGATAAAAAGCCACAGTGTACTTGAAAATGGCCAGAGAGAGGCAGGGCTGCTTGAAGCTTTTAAACTCATTCACAGCCAGCTGTGTGTCTGAAGGAGACTAACAGACAGCACACAGTTGATTGTCCTTTCATTGATTTACAATTAACTGCTTTGTCTGACCGGACTGCAAATCTACACCACACCACAGCATCACACACTTTGAAGCGAGCCAGAAACAGGATGGGACAAAAGAGCGAACAAAAAGGTGAAACAGTGAGGGCTGACAATCAGAATGAGCACGAGAGAGGCAGATAGCCTGGCTGTGAGAGATTCAGGTCAAGTTGGCCCTCGGGATAAAAATGGCCTTTAGCAGATATAATACTCTAGATGTACAGAGGATTCAAGCTGCTATAATAAAAGAAAATCCAAGAAGAAACACCAAAAATATTATTAAAATAAAATGAAGCATTTGTTTTAAATGTCATGTGTATTTATTTATATTTATGCTAATTCTCAGATTTAGATCATTTGCTTATATTTTAGTGCCACATTTCTCTGAGCATCTCCTGACTGTTGTCAACGAGGGACAGCTGTTGTTGCCAACAATTATAGAATTATGGTGAAATTGCAAAGTTCAATAACGGCAAAATACATTTTACTACGTGGCAAAAATGCTGGCTTTGAGGGTCAAAACAACACTGAGACAAGTGTTTGTATTAACGGAACAATGATATTGGCATCCAGCTAGAGCAAGCACTGGAGTGGCTTTTGGAAGAAAAAAGCCTTTGAATCCAAGCCCAGGCTTTCTCATTCCCTTTGACAATCTATGAAGTGTTCAGGGGCACGCTCCAGAATTTTGACCCAAGCTGGGATAAATCCAGACATGCTAAACTGACACAGACAAGTCAAAGCTGCAGGTTTTTACAAAGCATTAGAGTTATCGAGCTATTTCTCAAAAAAGCTGATTCCTTTAATACAGTTCAGCTTTTGTGTTTTTCATATTTTAACGTGTCTGTCCAAATGCAATCTCAGGGGTTAAGTCTGCAGTGTTATGTGATGTCGTCACCATTAATCTCAACAAAGGACAGCACAACTCAGTCATGAGACCATAACATGAGTCTGGCTCAGAGAAAGTCACCGTTGATACATCAACACAGCCATAATTAAAAGTTAAATGACCGTAATTACAGCTAAAATGGCCATGTTTGCATTGAAAGAGAAGGGTAAGAGAGAAAAATGATGGGGGCTGATAGAGCTCTTACTAATTTTGGGCATTGCTGCTGTTGTACTGGTAACTTTGTACATCTTATCTTTCCACA